AAGATTTGAATAAAGGTCTTTTGTTCTTTGAACAGACTTTTTTATTTTGCACGGGAAGATTGGCCCTAAGCTAACATCTGCTTCCTCCTTTTTTCTTCTCCCCCCACCCCAATCCCCAGTACATAGTTGTGTGTAGTTGTAAGTTCTTCTATGTGAGCCACTGCCACAGCATGGCTGCTGACAGACGAGTGGTGTGGGTCTGCACCTGGGAACCGAGCCTGTGCCGTCGAAGCAGAGTGTGCTGAACTTTAACTGCTAGTCCACCAGGGCTGGCTCTGAACAGACTTTTATAAAAATTATGTTACCTATGATTTGCAGACCACGATTTCAATATCTGTTACCTCAATTTATTTATTTTCTACTTTGTCCTTAGAAAAATTCGAAGTGCTTTATATGTCCTTTGGCCTCAAAGAGTAACAGTCCTTTTTCCTTCTTCTTTTCAACTTCAAACAGACCCCAACAAAGAGAAAATAGTACCTACCACCGCATTTATCCATCTCTTATCAATATTTTGCCGTATTTACTTCATCTGTCCTTTTTTGTTGTAGTATTTTTTAAAGCAGATCCCTAATATTGGGTCATTTAGTTCCTAAAACACTTCTGAATATATCTCCAAAAAGTAAGAACTTCTTAACAAAACTAAACAGCAATGATCACATCTAACAAATTTATCAATGTTATTATCATCTAATGGCTAATTCCCATTCAAATTTCCTTCATTATCCCAAAAGTGGCCAAATGCCTTTTACATGTGTTTTATTCAAGTCTCATTTTTTCCTTGCTGTTGTTTTTGGTGAGGAAGATTGGCCCTGAGCTAACATCTATTCCCACTCTTCCTCTATTGTGTATGTGGGCCGCTACCACAGTATGGCTTGATGAGCAGCGTGTATGTCCACGCCTGGGATCTGAACCCAGGCAAACCCCAGGCCGCTAAAGCAGAGTGCACGAACTTAACAACTATACAACCAGGCCCGCCCTGAAATCTCATTGTTTTTTAAGGATAAATGAAGTAGTCTATTTTAGAGAACCTGATCATATTTGGGAAAGTATTTTCAAAAGGATAGAGAAAAACAGGCTTAAATTTTCACTTGCTTGCATTGTTTCAGTCTTTCCTTCTTTTGTAAAATTAAAGACATTGGTCTTTCTGGCAGGTATTTTAAAACAATAACCAGCAGATGGCAGCAATACAGGAGAGGGTGAAAGAGAAGCAAATTAAAAGGGAAATAAAAGACCCAAGGGCTTTTGTTAAAAAACAGCTTTATTGAGCTAGAGTTCACATACCATACATTTCATCCATTTAAAGTTACAATTCTGTGGTTTTTAGTATATTCACAGATATGTGCACCATCTCCACAGTCAATTTTAGAACATTTCTTCACCTCAAAAAGAAACTCCATGCCCTTTGGCTATCATACCCCTACCCCCAGCCCGAGGCAACCATCCACCTACTTCCTCTCTGTAGATTTCCCTGTTCCGGACATTTCATATGAATGGAATCATATAACATGTGGTCTTTGCAACTGGCTTCTTTCAGTTCGCATAATGTTTTCAGGGTTCATCCATACTGTAGCATGTATCAGTATTTCATTCCTTTTCATGACTGAATAATATTCCATTGTATAGATATACCACATTTTGGTTATCTGTTTATGTCTTGGTGGACGTGTGGTTGTTTCCACCTTTTGGCTATTATGAGTAATGCTGCTGTAAACGTTTGTTTGCAAGTGTTTCTGTGCACGTTTGTTTCTTTTCACTTGCATATATTGCTTGTTGTGGAATTACTGGGTCCGATGGTAACTTGACGTTTCATCATTTCGGGAAGCACTAGACTGTTTTCCAAAGCTGCTACAGCATTTTACATCCCCACCAATGTGGTGTGAGGGTTCTGATTTCTCCATATCCTCCCCAACACACTTCTTATTATTTGACATTTTGATGATGCTAGCCATACCAGTGGGTGTGAAGTGGTATCTTATTATGGTTTTGATTTGCATTTCCCTGATGACTAATGATGTTGAGCATCTTTTCATGTGCTCATTGGCCATTTGTATATCTTCTTTGAAGAAATATCTATTCAGATCCTTTGCCCTTTTTTCAATTGGGTTGTCTTTTTATTATTGAGTTGTAAGTTAAACTT